AATAACAACTTATGTTTTATGGATCTCATAAAAGGAATCATCCCCTCATCATTTTCCTCCTCAATCACTTCCGTTACCAACAACAAACAAATCATTCAGGGTTTATTATCATTCTTATTTGATGATATTTTCTCCTCAGCTCACAACATATGGTTGATACGATGTACGTTACTACAAAATTGGAAAACTTTGAACAACATCAATGATGATTTCACTGTTGCTTAGGCTTCCTCTGGACTCCCACAACCCATTCAAACTCCGCATAATATCCTTTCCTCCTTTGCTGCAGCCTTTGCTTTTAGTTCTCACTGGTCAAATTTTTGGTACAGCAGTAACCACACCTCCCTTCCAGATGTTTGATATCTGTACATTAGTTTAGATTAGTTCCTTTTCTTTTCTATTATATAGTTTAGTTTGGTAAAAGTGCAAGGTTAGTATTGATAAAGTAGTTTTAGTCCTCTAGATTAGTTTATAGATATTTTTGTATTTTCTGTTTTATTTTGTATTTCTTGTAAACTCATAAATTTAATAAAGATCATGCGAGACTGCCGCACTTATAAAAAAGATATCAATTGGCTATACATAAGATAGGTTGAATTTTAGCTGATTTTTGACGTATGTCAATCGGCAATAAGTATGCTAATCGGCTATAAAAAAAAATCATTTTTGCATATCAGAAAAAAATGGAAAAAGAAAAAAATTAAAAATTTTCACAAACTAATAACCGCAACTTGCGTACGCGTCCAGACTCTCTAACAAAAAACAAAGACGAACCTCCCCAGAAGAAAATCATGACTGGCAGGTCTCACCAAATACTAGAAACTCCAGCTGGACTATTAAATGTCATAATCACCACCAACATTTTTTCAGCTAGTGATATGAGCATAGACGAACAAACAGCAGCAGAACTTACAAAAATAAAAGATAGAAATAAAAATATAATATAATAGATATTACAAATGATACAACTGTCTGGTTTTCCAAAGAACACACCACACTAGAAACTACTACCACCGGCTCTTCTCCAACCTTCCAACTAAAGAATATTTAAACATTGGCCTTGGGACTGATAAAAAAATGGACAAAGACCAAACGTTTAATGCATCAAAAAACTTATTGAACACCAAAGATGGCAGGAACACCATTACCTTCGAAAGATTCTGAGATGCGACTACTTTCTACATTTACTGCGCTGCAGAAACTTTTCTTCCTGGCAAATCCTTTAGAGAAAAGACCAATAAAGCCTGCGAACTCTTCAATGACGCAGTATTCCCATTATTTATTGGTGCATCTATCAAACCTGATCCAACAAACAAAATGTTAAAAATAGTCTGTTTAGGCTTTACAACTCGAGATGACGCTAACCGTACTATGGCTGCAAAAATTTTAACATAAAAACTATCATGTTTATACCCTCATCACACCTACCCTTTCAAATTTGACCTGAGTCTATCGATTAAGGTCACTGAAATCCCAATTTCGACATCAGAGCAAATCATTCGATCTACGTTTGCCAGATTTGGTACGATCGTCAAATGTATGATAATGACAATAAATCTTTGGCAACAAGTAACTATTTTGTACGCAGTTAAGACAGACTTGTCTTTCTTTAATTCTCACACTATCCTATTTGTTTTGAAAAATATGGTCAGAGTTCACGTCTGCTTCCTCATAAATGATGAAATCAAAGCCCGCTCCCAATTTACTTTAAAATTAACAAATCTTCCCAAAGACACCACTGGTAAAGAATTAGAACTTATCAGTAAAGCAGTCAACGTGATCACGTAGGTGATTTCCAAAACGCGATCAAATTACAGAAATCTCCAATACACATTTATGCATTTTAGTAACAAAAATGATCTCAAAACAGCAAAAAACGGAGACCCTATTGAGTTTGACAACAGGAAACTTATTTGGACTGCATTAGATACTAATTTGTGTGCACATTATTTTATTCCTGAACACGACTCACAAAATTGTAGATGTAAAAGACCAACTCCCAAAGATAGACAGACACAAAATCTTTACCAATGCTATAAACCTGCGCAGTTTAAAAATTACTCGGCACCCGCATCTCGTCCAAAGGTCACTTTTGTACACGACCAGAAAACTATGTTCAATCCAAAAAACCCACGCTCATTTACTAATAAAGCCAAGGATATCAAACCTCTGGTCAAACCTCTTTTATTACGACCCAATGAACCTAAAGTGGCAAAAAGTAAATCCTCGCTTGATGAATCGATGCACGCAAGAAAATCATGGTCAGATCAAATGGATGAAACTGACGTACCCTACTATTCACTAAAAACACCCACACACGAACTAACGGACATATAAAAGATATTAAATCAATTGGATGCCATCACTGCTACCCTTGCGGCAATTCACAATGACCTAGCTTTCTCGATGCACCGTCTTGACGAAGTGAAAAAATACTTAAACATCTTTACAGTAATACCAAAGAAAGCCGCTGCACTCAATGAAGTGGCTAAAGCTGAAGGTTCTATAGATACGGATACTGTTTACAAACCAGAAGTTGATACGTTCGAATCTAGAGTTGTCGAACAGGAAAAATATATCACCATCCTTCACGCAGAAACTGAAGAACTATGTAAACACAATAAAGACACGATAGAAAAACTCAATATCGCCTTCAAAGCAGTATCTAACATCTAACATCGGGTTCTAGATGATATCCACCCAGCACATATTATTCCAATTCCTAAACTTAACATACCCGATACATTTGTCGCTTTAAAAAATGACACAGAGGTTCCCACCCTAGAACTCTTTTTTAAATAATTATGATACTACAACTACCAAATACAAAAACGGTATTCCCTACCATAAATGTTGATACCCATAATACTCGTTCTTTTACTCTACTACACAAATAACAAATCCTTCTTAATTTATACTCTCTTTACAATTTAGACGTTATCATCTTACAAGAAACAAATTTTAATAATTCATCTCACATACACTCCTTAAAACCCATTTGTTCAAATAAATTTGTTTCCTTTTTTAACACTGACCCCTCCGCATAAAGTATGGGATTCAGAGTTGGCTTTCTAATTAAAAAACACCTAGCTGACCATGTTTTTAATCACTTCTCCTTCTTCTATCGCATCTATTCGATAGACTTTCAATTTAAAATCAAACAATAATTTCATATTATTAACGTTTATATTTCCAGTTATGATAAAACTTTATGTGACAAAACTTACAAAAAAGCTTTAGACTTAATAAACGACGCATACCAAAAGGACTTCCTTACGATAATTCTTGGAGATTTTAACGCTGATCCATCACGATCCTCCAATCCTTCAAATTCGAAAGCTTTTTTCACCTCGTTTGATAATCTCCACATGGTTAATAATCTAAACCTCATCAAAAATCAAAAAACAAATGATGAGCTCATTACCTATAAAACTAATACAGAACGTTTTATGATAGATTACATTTTTATGCAATCTTTATTAATTTCAGACCTCATCAATCAAGTAGTAGAAAAAGTTGATAACGATTTGTCAGATCATGCTATCATATATGCAACTATTTCTTTAGCATCTATCAATCCATCATTTACTCAATGTGCTGCAATAAAAAGCTGGTCTACTGATATGACAAAATGTCTGATGACGACTGGTCTGCCTTTAGATCTTCAGTCGATCAAAGATGTAAAAATACAAGACTTTACAATGAGTAATACGGAAAGTTGTAGCATCAGATTACCATTTTGAGTATTGTATAGTTACGTAAAATGGTATACAAAATTGTATGCTTTATAAAAATACTACGGCGTTTGTATAATAAAAAGTATTGTGTAATACAAGTAATACAATAGTAATTGATTCACTTATGATACAAATTTTTTTTCACCAAAACTCTCACACTACTCTCGCATTCTCTTTAAAAAACTTTTTAACCATGAATACTGATATTGTTAATAAAGAAGATATTATTTTTGAAGAAGATCTTATTGTAGAGGTGACTAGATATTTTATATGAATATTTATAACGCGAAACTAGATGATAACAATTTTTTTATAGCCAAGTTCACCTAATATGAAAGATACCGAAGATACTGAAATATATATTACAAAAAATGTAACCGTTAAAAAAATAATTTACTCACTTACTCCAGTTGAATATCCACCTTCAAGTAAAGAAGATATCGCAATCATTTATCATGTTGAAGGGTGGGACAACAATGAAGCAGCATTTGCAGATATAAATATTAACTTTAAATTTAAACTAATATACTGTACAATGATTATACAATGAAAATTATACTAATAGTTAATATTGTAGATTCAATATCCTATGGGCAGACCTTGTAGTCAAAATAATATAACCTGCACTTATCTTGGTAACATTGCTGTAATAAAAAAAGATAGAACCTGTCAAGGACTTAAGATGTGTGAATTTGCAAATGCAGAACTTCAGGAAATGAAGCACGAGTCAATAGACACTAATTCAGATTTACGTTTAAGAATAAATGAAGAATTAACAACTAATAACATGAATAATAATACATTTGCGTAAGTATCCTTGTATAACTTTATTTGCATATCATTGCATATCATATATATTTATGATAAATAATTACAAATTTCCATGTAGTGTATATTTAGCGGCATACAAAACTAAATGCTGATATGAACAAAATGAAATAAAATGCACTAGAAAACCTGTATTAAAATGTTTACGAAGACATGATGATACAATACCACCATCTTATTTTATTGGTTGTGCTGAATGGAAACCAAATGAAAAGTACCATCGATTCATTAATATAATAGAAAATGTAGATCTTAACCTACTCCGTCAACTTTTAGATGGATTATATGAGGTTAGTTATACTGTTGATTTTTTTATGTTGCCTATTTTAACTTATTATATTGAATTATTTAAATATATATAGGGTGAATCAGATGAACCGGTAAATGACTGTTTTACTGTATTACACAACAGTTCAAAGAAAAATTCTTGTCGTAAGTATTAAAATATTTATTCATGTATTTGTAATTAAATTATATATTAAAGTTTATTAAATATTAAAATATTTCTTAATTTTGACAGCATATCCTCATCGTGCTGAAAATGTTATCAAACAGGAATCTATTATTCAGAAAAAATGCGGAGTTAAATATTCCAAAATAATACCTCTTGATATGGAAAAATGTCCATATGTTATTCTTATTTCAAGAGGTGTGCATTTTCATCCACCACCTCCACCTAATCATGTACCAATCACCATTCGTTCTCGGTTGCAAGATTTAATTAGACAAGCGAATGATAATACGACAGATGTTACTCCAACCCGAATTGTAACGGGTAATTAAGTTTTGTTTGTGAAAATTTAGTAAAATATTAATTTTTATTAATTAAATGTTAACTTGTCTACATGTTT